ATCAGCAAACACGGGCATTATAGGGAGTTGCCCGGATTGCCCAGAACAACTGGCACCTAGACACTAGATGATCGGAAGTGAAAACCTGACTGGTGGACAGAACACTGGGACCCTCACCACTTTCAAGGTGAAACCCTTGCTCATGAACTTCCGGCAAAGCATGAATGTGTGTCTCATCGGGCAATTTAGGGAGTAGCCTGGATTCCCCAGGTGGACCATTACCCCATACCACAGGCCTAGGTGTGGTGTCAATGGCATACAAATGGGCAACAAACGAGGCTCTCATGTTTGTGTGCAAAGTTCTCAACTCTTCAAGGGTTTCAGGCAGTGGCATGTTCATGACAACATGTGCGATGAAAGCCATCGCATGTGCACCACACATCATGTGAACTGGCAAACCATCTGGGATTCTGTGGATGGCAAACGTGCGAAAGTCCAAATAATCAGTAATGAAGTTAATGATCTCTTCAACCAAAGAAAAATCATGGTCACTCTGAAAGGTATGAACCTGCAGCATATTACCTCGAGGAGAGAACCACAAAGGAATCCAATGGCCATTGACCGCAAAGGCAGTAACAACGTTCAATCCTTGAGTTCTGACAGTCAAGTGACTTGCACACCATTGTTCTGTGATCGTCTTACCTATGGAAGACCAGCAGTTGAAAATCAAAGGTTCGAAAATGGCAAAAGATCGATCCATCAAAGTGTTTGGTGTGTTTTGTCTCTGTACCAAATTGACAATGTGAAACCGGATCTCATCATCAGACATTGAGAACCCGCATTGATTAAATCAATCCTCTCATCTCTGGAAATGTTGACCATCGGAGCCGTGGCAAGAGGGCTGGTCTGGGCATCAGGCTCAGCATCGCCAGCACCCCACACCCACGGGCGATCAGTGATTTGGCATCCTTTCAGGACTTGGACAAACCTGTCACGAATCAAGGAGTGGACTGCAAGTGCCTCATGGCAATCTGTGGGCAATTGGGTGCCAACAAGTGCATACCGAAGAAAAGCAATGGCAAGCGATCCACACAGTTCTGATGTGAAGAACAACCTGTGCTCACGTCGAATCAGTGCACTGTCAAAACCAAGGCCCACAGCAAGCTTTCGCACCACGGAGTTCAAGAGGTCATGACAGGCATCAATGCCATCCCAAGTAAAAACTTGCAAAACATCCTTGACAGGAGACATGAAAACCGGGATCCAATGTTTGTTCACAAGCATTGAAGTGATGACCAACAAACCCTTGTCACGGATGTCGGTGTGATCCTTGGCCCAAAAGGTGCAATCGAAGCCCCTACCTTGAACCCATGCAGAAGAAATCAATGGGTCAATAACACAAACCTGAGTAAGCGGGTTGGGGAACTTCAACTGATGATCCCTGTGAATCAGAGTCAGTGCGTGCAAATGAAATCGTATTTCATCATCAGCCATGAAGTGGCTTTGTGCATCCAGAATGCGCAGGCGATCTTCAGCTCTGAAAAATTGGTGCCTTACTGACCACAGCTGCTGGACATTGGTGATACTAGGCAAGGCCAAGCATAAAAATTGATCCCCTTGCAAGCACAGGAAAGGTGATGCATCAAGCCAGGCTTGTTCAGGCATAGCATTCTTGCAAGGCGCTGGACACTGGCCAACGTCAAATTTGGAAACTTTCCTGGGCGGCGAGTGAACTTCAATTGGGTCCTGCACCGGTTGAGTCCATTCGGCAGTGGGTGAGACATCCAAATCGCGAAGCGACTTCACACCAGCAACTTCAGGCGACTGAAGGGTGATCGTAATGACCTGTCCCACTTCCATGACATGATCGAGGTTGAGACCCCTTCCATTCATTGTGATTTGGTTAGCCTGAATGTCACCAACCAACTTGGAGTGTGCCTGCAAAAACTGTGCAATTGTGGCATTGCACTTCGGCTGCAAACGAATTGGGGTATCCCCTGAACCCTCAAAAACGATGGTGCATGAGTCAGCTTGCATACATCCCGCAGTGGTAGGATCATCAACCAGAATTGAATTGGGGCATCAAACCAAGGTGCGGCTTCATCATCATAGTCAATACCCTCACAAACAGTAGGTGGTATCTGTTCCTGAGTACGAATGAGGAAATCAAGGACAGAAGCAATGCTGATATGTCCTGCAATCTTCCCTTCCCACCGAAGTGGAAACAACAATTCCCTCAGGGAAAGCCCCTGGACTTCATGCCAAAACTGTATCATTACAAGGAGTTTGTGATCTTGGACAGTTTCGACATCACATGGCCAAACCTGTCGGCACCGCATCAAAAGCCATGACCTATATCTTGAACCTATATGCTTGAACCTGAGAATTGGAGTCAAAAACCGGGAAATGTCTCAACTCTTCCAGCTTTGCAGACACAAATCCAAAAACCCACAAGGCTTGAATTGGGGCAGCCAACTGACCAACGGCAGACAAAGTGAGACGAACATGTTTTCCAAAGTCAACTACCGGATCCATGGTATTCAGGCTCATGGCTTCGTTCGGATGCAAATGACGGATGTTGGTGCTGCCATCTGGGAGAACAGCACTACGAACAATGCAGCCATGAAGTCCTTTGGACTCCAACCGCTCGCAGGAAAAACCCGACCTACGACAACCACAAGGGCATGGCCGTGTTTGGGAACCCCAGGCATGAAGAGCACAGGGAGCCTTGGACTTACCATTCAAAAGGTATTTGCCATGTGAATCATCATTGACTTTGAAAGCTTGCAACTCGGCATCATCCAAAGAAAGCTGGGTTTCATCCTCAATATCCCACAACTGAATGGACGGAATGATCTGCTGCACTTCCCATAGATTATCTAACGGGGCACAAGAAGTCAATTGAATGTTCCCAAGTTCCGGTGAAAACAAGATCCACCAAGCCCTATGTCGGCGGCACGGCCAAACTTGGTCCAGTTTGAGGCTTGAGGTCTGTTTGGGTGACACGGTACCCTGTGTGCTGGCAAAATCGGGCAATTTCGGCCTGAACGAAACTATCATTGGCTGCTGGGGCTACGCACTCAAGCACAACCACTGCTGCATTGAGGAAAAAACTTGCATCCAGCGTTTTGGTGAGACAACTGGCACGTGAGTCAAGCTGGCCTTTACCATCCCCCAGGCGAGAGAATGGCTGACAACTAAACCCGGATGAAACTACGGATGCACCCCTGGAATGCTTCCATGCTTCAAAAATCACATTCCTATTGCCGAAATCACCACAAATGTTGTGTGCCTCATGCACTTTCCCATGCAGCTCTAGCATCAGACTGTTCTGGTCGACAGCCACAGCTATGTCAAATCCTGCGGCAACTGCACCCTGAGACAAACCTCCAAAGCCTGAGCAGAGGTCAATTACTGAATGAAGGAATTCCCACGAAGGTCTGTGGTGTCCCATGATCGCGGAGGTCGAACTGGCAACAACCACAGGGATGGGAGCATGTTGTTTCACTCGTACATTGAAAAGGGTGTAGGCAGCAAATCCCTCATTCAGAGTCGAACCCACTTTGGATACCATAAGATGTGCAGCATGTTCAGGATCGAAAATCCTCACAGTGCAAACCAAATCGGTGATACCATCAATATGAACCAGCGATAAATCCATGGGTGAGATTTATGCCATGGCTAGAAATTTTGACAATGTCCATAATGTCGCCCATAGCCTGCCATTCATCAACATGGAATCCACAGACCTGGACCACTGCGCCGCAAAGCGAAAAGACATTGCGGATCGCAGCCTTCATCCTTGTTTGTTTCGGTAAACGAAACGCAATCGGAGAAACCGGCCAGGACGATACTGCGAGGCTTGAGCCAAAATGGCTACGGCCTGTTTGAAACCACCAGCCAGGTACTATAAAAATAGATGTTACCTGAAGGGTATTTTTTGGGGGTTATGATTCTTAATAGTGATATAGATATATATGAAGATTGGCACAATTATGATAATCATTCAACAACTAATGTTGGAACAGCAATGAATTAGGATCGTGTATGTAAATGGGGTACAGTGAATAACATTAGGATACATTAGGGATTACTTCGGAAGAATCATGGACAATAATTATAATTCGAGAAATGAAAAACATATAACTTGAAGATATGAGAAATTACAATAGTTTATATAATTAAATTCAAAATTTCTTGAAATGAGAATCAACAACAATAATGAGGAGTGGAACTGTTTAAAAACTATTGGTTCACACGTTATGATAGTGACATGATCCCAATTCAGCGGACTAAAGCCCCTGAGAATCTACTTGTTGTCTAAGCCCCAAAGAGCTGGTGTGCTTTAAAAAATGGTTACAGCCAACAGTTAAAGATGTTTGTTAAAATGGATATCCAAACAGTTCATCATTCAGTGTTGTTGGATATCCCAGACCATGTTTAAGAACCAAACAATGGTTACAACCATAGAATGATGAATCATATCTTCTGTTTGGATAATGGTCTGGGGTCAAACTGCTTGAGACCCTACGGCAAACTATACTTTTAATAGCTGGTCGATGTTCATGTGCCGCACATGGTCGGTCTTGACCTATCTCCATACGCTATCTCCATCCAAAACAATGCAGCATAGCATATCCCTCGATCTAAAGCAAAAAAAAAAACATGCCAAATACCCTTTTGATGTTGGCCAAAATGTATTCTTTGAAGCAACCAACCGGCAGTGTTGTTGCTTATATACCCATTGTATGTAAAGGCCGTGTTTTCAGAGTCTGAACTTCAGGCATGTCTTCTTTTTGATGGTTTATCCCCGACTGTTTGTGATCGTTAAGCACCCTCATGAACCCTAGTCTTTATAGCCCATTTTCATGGATATGTCATGGATATGTCATGGATATGTCATGGATATGTCATGGATATTGCTGATATATCATGATATATATATATATATAATATCATATAATACTATATTATATATATATCATGATAAATTTCCAATTTTCTTGAATTCCCCCACTGTTCACACCACAAACGCTTGCAAAACTCAGCGCTGCCCCGGCATCTTGGAGTACGTTCGCGACTTCCGGCGGGAGCGCGGGGCCTGACTCAGATCTACACAGTTACCGCGTCTTTTCTTTACCTTGTTTTAAACAACAGGAGGTATAGTGATAATTGATAAAACAAGGTAAAGTGATAATATGCTCTGGGAACCATTTGTTACTCTGCCATCCTATAAAACAGGAGGTATATGGATAATTGATAAAACATGATAAAACAAGGTAAAGAGACCTATGGTTTTTAACTATGGTTTTGATAAACTATGGATTTTAAACAAGGAACCTCTTATGGTTTTTGATAATTTTGATATCTGAAGAAATTGTCGAAAAAAATCCGGGACTCATTGGACTTTCGGACTTTCAGATTCAGAATGAGTTTTCTCTTTTGAAACATCCGACCAAGATCAACCAGGCGCCACACCGTCTCCGGCACCGCATCAGCTGGCCCGGACTCGGCCGACGGCAGCCGGAGGGGTGCTTCATGGGCCTCACCAGTACGTCATGCCCCAGTTCGTTGGCGAAGTTGGTTTATAAACCCATCTATAGCATCTAAATCTAACTATAATCTAAGTACATACATTTGTATATATACACGTGATATATATATATATATATATATATATATAGTCTAGATATATTAATGATATATACATATGTATATATATATGTATTAAATATATATGTATATGTGATTCAACAAATAGATTAGTGCTAAAAGGATCTAAAAGGTGCTAAAGCAACTTGTCTATCTAGGGAGCCCACATGGCAGTGGTTGAGCCGCACATTCCAAAAGGTAAGAATATGAACAAGCGATTTGATGGTTGGATTCATGTTCTGTGTGACAGAATTCAGCACATAGATATTCTGAGGCATTCTGGTTCTGGTTGGGGGTCTCGGTCTGACCCTAAAAGTTTCACCAAGTTGGTCATGGACTCAGACCCAGCAACCAGCTGCGGCCCACACGTGGCAACCTTCAGAGTATTGGACTTTAGATTTAGATTAAACATGATTAAACATTATCAAAATTGACTTAGACTTCTTGACATCTGCAAGAGTGACATACCGTGACCCTCTGTGTAGCTATGATGCATCAAACATCTTACCGTCCTATTTTCGTGGTTGATCATGGTTGATCCAAGCCAATCCAGTAACGTCATGCCCAGGTTAATAAACCCTGACTGGTTGGCGGTATACCTATAGCCCTCTGAAAAATATGCTCGTCAGTTGCGATGATGAAATTCCCCATTTTTGTGGAAAGTCATAAAATTCCATGGTTCCAAACCACCAACCAGCTGATTCTTAAAATTGGAGAGGTTACCCTCAAAAGTGATAAACCTGTGCTAAAATTGGCACCACCGGCAGCGTAGCAAACTCGTGGATGCAATTTCGATTAACATAGCAATCCCATTGAAATCCACAACTGTAGAACTGCATAACCCATTATAAGCCCAGCAGATCCCAGTTTGTGTCTACCCAAATACTTTACGACTTTTCTTGTTGCTGTGAACACCTCCTTTCACTAAGTGCCACACCAGTCCCAGCGGTACCACATCAGCTGCTGGCTCTGCCACCGGCAGACGGAGGGGCGTCGGATGGGCCTTGGGGTGCGATCCATTGCCCTCTGCGAAACTAGGAGTTGGCTATGGAAAATCACCATTTTGAATAGGAAATGATAAAATAACTAGAAGGAAAATATCGTTGAAGAGGTAATGATAAAATCGGTATCACCATGTATCACCGTTTTTGTTATACCATTATCTCCATATGGAAAATCAACTATAACTGGCCATTTTCAATAGCAAACATTCCAGCTTTCCAAGTCAGGTCGGGCAAGAAGTGGAGTGTGTCCTGGTAAGACATGGATCACCAGGTCTCGCCAAAGCTTTCCGACATGTCACCATCTGCCACCAATGGCCCTCATACCATGAGATGACCGGAAATCACCAAATGAATATCACCGTCACTTACGATTCGTGGGTAGTGAGCCACTAAGTATGGAGATAATTTGAGATAATGATGTAACTGGTTGGTGGTTTTAACAATCTTGAAAAATATTAGTCAATGGGAAGGATATTTGAAAACACCTATCCTGGTTGGAGGTATACCTACCCCTCTGAAAAAATATGCTTGTCGGGATGATGAAATTCCCAATATATGGAAAGTCATAAAATTCCATGGTTCCAAACCACCAATCAGTTTTTCCCCACCTGCCAGGTGAGGGTTGTTAGATTTTATGTCAGTTGCCTCCTCCTCCTCCTCCTGCTCCTCCTCCTCCTGCTCCTCCTCCTCCTCTCCTCCTCCTCCTCGCCTCCTCGTCCTCCTCGTCCTCCTCGTCGTCCTCGTCGTCCTTGCTCAACTGCGACCCGCGATCCACAGTGTTCTCTGCCGGACCTCAACCACGACCATCCACGCCCAGTGTTCCCTGCCGGACCTCAACCACGACCATCCACGCCCAGTGTTCCCTGCCGGACCTCAACCACGACCATCCGCGCCCAGTGTTCCCTGCCGGACCTCAACCGCGACCATCCGCGCCCAGTGTTCCCTGCCGGACCTCAACCGCGACCATCCGCGCCCAGTGTTCCCTGCCGGACCTCAATCTTCTGACATATCTTCTGACATATGGCATTCTTCTGGCATTCTATCTGGCTATATGGCTTCTTTGGCATTCTATCTGGCATATCTTCTGGCACTCTATCTGACATATCTTCTGGCATTGGCAAATCTTTCCCTGCCGGACCTCATGTAGGAAGATATGGGACAAAGAATGTGCAGAAGAAAGTTAGAAAGAATGTCAGAAAAGAATGTCGAAGATATGCCAGAAATATGCCAGAAGATATGCCAGATAGAATGCCAGAAGAGATGCCAGATAGATGTCAGATAGAATGCCAGAAGATATGCCAGATAGAATGCCAGAAGATTTGCCAGATAGAATGCCAGATAGATATGCCAGAGATATGCCAGAATATATGCCAGAACATATGCCAGAAGATATGTGCCAGATAGAATGCCAGAAGATATGTCAGAATATATGCCAGAAGATATGCCAGATAGAATGCCAGAAGATATGTCAGATAGAGTGCCAGAAGATATGCCAGATAGAATGCCAGAAGATTTGCCAGATAGAATGCCAGAAGATATGCCAGATCATATGCCAGAAGATATGCCAGATAGAATGTCAAATAGAATGTCAGAAGATATGTCAGATAGAATGCCAGAAGATTTGCCAGTAAGAAAATGTATAAATGTCATGGTGGGGATCACACGAAGTAAAGTAATTTTACTATGGAGATACACTGGAGATAGTATAACAAACATATAGTATCTCCTTAAGTATCTCCATCGATGGTGATTGTTACTAACAGTGGGTAGCAGCGGGTAGCAAACAAACCATGATACCCTGGAGATATCGATTGGTTTCCATAGGCAGTTTTCCGGTGTCGGTTGGTTTGTCTGCCATGCAATGGGTATAGCAACAATAATTAATGGGTGGGTGGATAGAACCACTCACAAAAGGGGATTGAATCACCAAACGTGATACAACATGAAAAAAAATAACACAGAACTGCTTTCAATGGATTGACTTCAGGGTTTCTTTGACCGGAACAAAACAAACTCATTGCCACCAGCGAATACAGGGGGATCAGCGGGATCCGGTCAATTCATGATTTGGATAATCTGTTGATAGAGTTTAACTTTAGATGATTTTTGTAAAAATAATACCAAACAACTGATGTATGATTTGTGGTACCAATCGGATCAAGTTGCCTGGAAATATTCTATAAACTGATAATCCAGGATGGACACGATTCAAAATATTTCAAACCAGGAACCAATTTTCTGGATCAATTACAATGATTCATGCACACACCAATAAGATCCAATAAACACATTTGGTTATGATTCCCTAATCCAATTCCATGTTTTTTGTTTCTTGACGTCGCAGTGAGGTTGGTTGCAATCTATCCAGATTTGTTCCCCACCTGCCAGGTGAGGGTTGTTAGATTTTATGTCAGTTGCCTTCTCCTCCTCTCCTCTCCTCGTCTCCTCCTCCTCCTCCTGCTCAACCGCCGCCTCCTCCTCGCAGTCCAGATCCCAGTGGGCACAGCCGGACCTCCACTGCGAGCTCCAGATCCCTGCCGGACCTCAACCACGACCATCACCGCCAGTGTTCCCTGCCGGACCTCAACCACGACCATCACCGCCAGTGTTCCCTGCCGGACCTCAACCACGACCATCCCCGCCCAGTGTTCCCTGCCGGACCTCAACCACGACCATCCACGCCCAGTGTTCCCTGCCGGACCTCAACCGCGAGTATCCCCGCCCAGTGTTCCCTGCCGGACCTCAACCTGACCATCCACGCCCAGTGTTCCCTGCCGGACCTCAACCGCGAGTATCCACGCCAAAAGATATGCCACATAGAGTGCCAGAAGATATGCCAGATAGAATGTTAGAAGATGTGCCAGATAGAATGCCAGAAGATATGCCAGATGCCAGATAGAATGCCAGATAGAATGTCAGCTAGAATGCCAGAAGATATGCCAGATAAAGTGCCAGAATGTTTGCCAGATAGAATGCCAGCAGATTTGCCCGATAATATGCCAGAAGATATGCTAGATAGAATGCCAGATGGAATGCCAGAAGATTTGCCAGATAATATGCCAAAAGATATGCCAGATAGAATGCCAGATGGAATGCCAGAAGATATGCCAGAACATATGCCAGAAGATATGCCAGAAGATATGCCAGAACATCTGCCAGAAGATTTGCCAGAACATCTGCCAGAAGATATGCCAGGCAGAATGCCAGAAGATATGCCAGATAGAATGCCAGATCGAATGCCAGAAAATATGTCAGATAGAATGCCAGAAGATTTGCCAGTAACAAAATGTATAAATGTCATGGTGGGGATCACACGAAGTAAAGTAATTTTTGAATCCCATCCACATGGTCCCCAATGGGTGCGAACAAATCCCCTATTAAACCATGGCTTTCTGGGGGCTGTTTAATAACTGGAGATGGGAAAAACAGGCTGCCAAAAAAGACCCAAAGTCATTTTGTTCACCAAAATTCAAAATTCCTGAGCTGTTCAGCAATTTCAAGCAAGTTGCACTCACAATCCAGCCCTTTTGTGAACGAAATGGTGAAAATCCCAAATTTCCATGGAACCCACTGGGCACCTTGTGCCATAGCCCCTGAAAGCAGTTGCAGTGCCACATGGCCCGCGGCACCCGCACGCTACATGTGTCCAGCAAAGGGAAGAACCCAGCAACATGGATTTATCTTTTGAACTGAACAGCATTTTGGCAAATGCTTTGGACCCAACTTGTTTAATTGTGAATAATATTTGGTTATAGATGCATATAAATATGGAAAAACCGTGGTCATCTTGTCATTTGTCAACATTGATTCCTCAATCTGGATGCTAGTCGACCTGCAGCATGTTCACTTGAATCATGGAGTTGAGGCCATGGTACGGCGTCGATGCTATCTCCAATCCAAAGAAATGCCGTGATTCACTCTTCAGGATTATGTTGAGCAGCTACTCTTAATATTATTTAATATCTGGAGTTTCAAGAGACTTCAAGGAAAACATATCCGACATATCTGAAGCTCCTTGTTGGTGTGTGTGTGTATCTCACACTGGAACAAAAACTTGAAGGTTGAGACAAAGTATTTTCGATCCAAACATGAATATTCCTACAAAGTACCTATATAATTTGGGGAGGCCAAAGTAGCTGCATGTGCAATGAGACATAGATCCATCAGTGAGTCTCTCCAAAAAAACAATCTCGGATCTGCATCATTAGTTCTAGAGGCATTTCCTTGATATCATCATGATCAGCAATAACATCATCAACATCAACATTATCTTGATCATCAAAAACAACATTAAAATTCATCATATTCATCATCATATTCTTCATCATCTTCATCATCATCATATCATCATCATCAGCATCATCATGTTCATCATCATCACTATGATCAATATATTCATCATCATCGTCATCATATTCATATTCATCTTCATGTTCATCTGCATCTTCGGCATCACCATCATCATCATCATCTTCATCATCATCATCAATTTCCTCATCACCACCATTTTTATTTTCATCACCATCATCATCTTCATCTTCATCTTCTTCACCATCTTCATCATCAAAATGGTCCTCATCAACATCATCATCATCATCATCTTCATCATCATCATCAACAAAATCATCACCATCATCACCAACATCGTCATCACCATCTTCATCATCATCACCATCACCACAGTCATCTTCATCAACATAAGTGTCATCATCACCAACATCAACATCGTTATTTTCATCATCATCGTCATCATCATCAACATCATGTTCATAATCATCATCTTCTTCTTCTTCCTCTTCTTCTACTTCATCATCATCATCATCATCATCGCATCATCATCATCATCATCATCTTCATCACCATCATCATCATCATCACCACAGTCACCTTCATCAACATAAGTGTCATCATCACCAACATCAACATCGTTATTTTCATCATCATCGTCATCATCATCAACATCATGTTCATCATCATCTTCTTCTTCTACTTCATCATCATCATCATCATCATCATCGCATCATCATCATCATCATCATCATCATCATCACTATTATCATCATCATATTCATCTTCATCGCCAAGATTATCACCGTCATCGTCATCATCGTCATTGTCATCATCTTCATCTTCATCATCATCGTCAGCATCACCAACATCAATATCATCATCATCAACATCATCATGGTCACCACCATCATCTTCATCATCATCATCACCATCATCATGATCATCATCTTCATCATCGTCATCATCATCATCATGATCATCATCATCATCACCATCATCATCTTTATCACCATCGTCATCGTCATCGTCATCGTCATCGTCAACAGCATCATCACCATCATCATCATCATCATCGCCATCGTCATTATCATCTCACTGCCCCACGCTGTTTTGGGTCTCTTGCCGGGATCATCTCGGACCTGGCAATCCGGGATCTGATTTGGCACATGCCTGTAGCATCGATCGGTGATCGGCCGTTGCCTCAAAAGGATTCAAAAGTTAAAGGCTCAGCTGACCTGTCTACATCCAAAAGATTCCATTTTAGTCACTTGACTAATCAAAGTAATCTAAGATATCTAAGCCTAAGTCATGCAGACTTAGGCATTTCAACGCCAACTTTGGGCAGTTCCTACGCAGAATCAGATTCATCCCTCGAGTGGCTTCTGCGTCTCTCCACGTAGGAAAAATCCACCTGGGCAGAGCCCCGGTGTCCCAGTGTGATTTCTCGACACTTTGATAGGATGATATTTAGTATAGTCAAATACAGTACAGGATACATCAATCATTCAATCAATATACTATATGCATGTTTAATATATATATAGATCATGTTTCCATATATGGCCGTTTCCTAAAATTGGGATAACACCCAAATCATACATCTTAAATTCGGATTTTCCATAAACCAACCAGCGAAACTGGGGATTCCCCATGACTATGGAAACCCCAAAGGGCCATGCATCTGGATGGAATCTACGTTTAAAAACTGGAGTTGCAGCCGATTTATCTACAGATTCCCACAGATTACATCCGAGTTAGCTAAAGTGGATGTCTCTGGATGAATATATATACATATATATACACACAAGACCATATATATAATTATATATATATATATAAATAATTATATATATAATTATATATATATATCGCAGTTCATAGTGCCATAGCTGCTGCATGATCCATGCAGCCACATGCATACTACTGACAAAACCCGACGTATGAGATGCACAAATACCAGGTTTATTGACCAGAAAAAAAAGCGATCCGTGGCATGAATCCTCGCCAGTTCAGCCCTGGGGCTGCATCCCATTTCATGACCCAGTTCTATATGTATAATATAATAATATAATATATATAATATTATGTGAAATTTCCCGTCAGTGATATGTGGCCCATGAAAGAAAAAGTGGGGTTTTCCTTTTGACCACTTAGTAACACCTGTAGTAATTCCCAGAAGTTTTAAGTTGCTTTAGATTCACGCATCTAGACAAATGCATTGAGTTATATCATGATATACCCATCATAAACTCGACGAGGTGGTAAACAAACCATATGTTAGTTGGTTTACCCTCTGGTTATGACTAACACTTTGCCATGGAAAGATCCACCATTCTTAATAGGTAAACCATCTATAAATGGTGATTTTCCATGGCTATGTTAAATAACCAGATGGTACAACCCCAATTCACTGGTCACTGAACTTTTCGCTATACCTATCAGAAACTGATTTGTTAGCCTAGTGAAATAAACCAACAACTAGCCTCTGGTAATTTAACATAGCTATTGAAAATGGTGATTTATAGTGGATTTTCCCATTGAAAATGGTGATTTTCCATAGTTTTTTGTATGTTTACCAAAGGGTAGCTATCATAAACCATCATTTTTCTTGGCAAACCACAGTTGTTGATGGTTGAGTCCCAAGGTTTGATTCGTTAGGTTAGATGCATGCTTGTAGCCCAACACAAAAGTCTCATAAATCAACTATAAATATGATGAATCAACTTTAACTTCTCAAGTCAACTATAAATCAGCTATAAACTCCCATATTTTCTCATCACGTTCTTGCTTCAATCCCATGTTTTTTTAGTTCCAAGGCGCTGAAGGCACCCGCTCGATGTGCAGATGCGACGGCAGCTCTGGCTCCAGGTTGGGCAGAACCATCTGCTCGTCCAACGACAAAGTAATCTCCTGGCTAACCCTCTGGTAATTTAACATAGCTATGGAAAATCACCATTTTTTATGGGAAAATCCACTATAAATCACCATTTTCAATAGCTATGTTAAATTACCAGAGGGTAAGGATCTTTGGTTTTTCGCGGAGATAAACATAAAAATCGACCGAGATAAAGATGAAATAACTTGAACATCAACCAATGATCAATAGGTTGTTGTTTTTTTCGGGTCATTAAAAAAATGTGAACTAATTAGACATAATTAGACGATGAAGTTGAGTTATCATTTATCAGTGAGATAACCTGCCTAGCTGAGATGGTTTGAAGCTAGTGATAAACTGAAAGAAAAAAACATGATCTGGTCAAGTACAAAGTCGCTTGAGCTTTTTGAGTTTTGAGATGTATTACAATCTCACGGCCAACCTTCCCGGGTTCCCTGGAAAAACAACTGGCTATACAATGCTAGACATCCCCATTTATCGCATTCGGATTCGAGAACTCAACCAGCCATCCAGAAACGCTTATCAGGGGCCCAGAGAGTGTGGTCGGTTTACATCTTAAAGCTGTTGCGCTCGTGATGATTCCGGATCATGTTCGGTTACCCATGACTTTAAGCCTACACATACCTATAGGATCATATAGGATCCATGTATGGTATATATGCTAATATGTGGGGTATATTGATGGTAAATGTTACCATATATAGCATACATGGATCCTATGGGATATAGCATGTTGATCCACTTTGAATCAGTCCCGGAATCTTCTCCCCGGGACTCCTCTACCAACAAGCCTTGCGCCCTGCATCGCGGGATTTGGGGAACCACATTGGACTGAGAGACTGGGACAAATTGGAAAAACCTTGAGAACTTTGATGAACTTTGACTTTGACAGTGGCAGGCTGCCGTTCTGATCTTTTACATTCTTTTACTATAAATGGATATATATATACATGTATATATACATATATGTATGTATACATAATTATATATATCGTGGATTCCAAGTGAAATGAAAGTACCCCACAGCGGATAGATTTCATGCCGCTGTGACGGTTTTTTTTGGGGGGGTCGACTTTCCATAGCTGGCCATCGCTGGCCGTGGCTCACACATGGCCAATAGCCTCAGCGAAGACACCATGGGTTTGCCATTGTATCATGAGAATAAATGATAAATGCATAGATTATAGATTATAGATTATAGATTAAATTACTAGTTTGGTACTCATATATGATAAATGCAATAATATAATCTATACATAGCACCAAACCACCAAATCCAAGGTGCCATGTATGAACATTCGTTGGAGTTTGAGCTACAGAAGTTGTCACAGAGTCTTGATTCCCCTTCACCAAACGACTTCTTCCCTTGAGAAACCATCCCTCATGTATAGTGCAATAAGATTATTGTCAAGAAAAAACTTGAACAAACAT